TAGTAGCAAATTTAATTTAATTACACTATATAAGGTACAGCAAAGAGACAAAGTTTGCACACAAATCTAGGACACCAGCTCGTCAGCAACTTCATTATTCCTCTTCAGCAACCTAAGCATTTATGATTACGCCATCCTTTTTACCAGGGTTCACAAAGTTTGGTTTTATGGTGAAGCAATTGTTATTAAAACTAAAGTTTGGTGTTAAGGCTTTTATGGTGAGCAATTATTTGTGATCCCCACTGAATTCATGCAAAGCCTCCAGTTCCTCTGGCACATGCATAGATTCAGAAGAAGGGTCACTTCCACTTCATATCAAGGCTCCCTAGATTCTCAGAAGGGAATTAGTATTGCTGCTTCCAAATACTGCCAATGCCCAACAAAATGTGAGAGAACAGATTCCTCCCCTCTCTGGTCTTCTGTGCATGGAGAGGAAAGATATACTCTGTCCTCCAGCCAGCAGGAAGCACTGCTCTCTACTTCCAATGCATGGAGAACTGGGGCAAACGAAATAAAGAGCTACATAAATAGATGTAGGTGGCTAACCTCCTCACCCCTCCACAATCACATTTATTAGACCCCTGTCCCAGTTGTCATTCAGGGGACTAATGATAAAAATCACAAGTGTCTTTACTAGAAAATGTTAAGGATAAAAATAGTTCGCAGCAACAAAACCCTATGAGAAAAGGAAAAAAAAATCATGGGGGATACACCTGTGTAGCCAGGTTGAATTTTGTGGCCAAGTCTGATTGCTATATAAACAAATATAAGCTACTTTCTCCCTGATGTAAGACCCTTCCACAGCTGAGATTATCTGACAAACAAGCCCCAGCATGTCATTCTGTGAAGGTGAACAAACCTGCCAGAGACACACAAAGCAGAGATGGAGGGGGGAGGCTGCCCCACCTATCCATTTGGTTCTACATCTACGCACTGCAAATGGAAAACATTTTTGTGGAGACTTTGAATCAGTTGCTTCATAAAAGTAGAATACAGAAAAGGGGAGGGGGATTAATTCTGTCTCTTCCAAGTGAGCAAAACTCCGATATACAGGAATTTATTTTCTATTTGGATAATAAACGCTTAACGTTCCACCATATTTTAAAAATAATCCTCCCATCCTCTCCACCTGTGGACTGCTGGTAGCCCACTCTTATGAGAAGGCAAAGAAAACATGGTTTGTGAAGTACAATAACATGAACATCTCAACAAAATGCAGGCCTATGGCTATCATTATCATTTTATAATAATGTCTCCTGTATGATTTTAATACCATTGCTTGATGAAGAAGCTTCATCAGAGGAGCTTTGAAAGCTTGCGATGTATATTTTATTCCTTGTGGTTGGTCTAATAAAGGTATCATCATTTTGTGGATTTTGGATGTTACTGTACTTTGC